GCTCTTTCTTGCTTCCTCTTTGAACCCTTATTCATTTTTAGAAAATTATTTCCTTAAAACTTTTCTTACTTCCTCAGTTTGAGTCCAGATTTACCCGAAGGCGCATCCGAATCCCTCAAACCAAGGCTCTGATACCAACTTGTAACACCGTAAATTTCAAGACAAAATTTTCATTTAAAATAATCATTTTATTCTTAGAAACACTTGTTTAAAATCTCATTCATAGTCGATTTACAAAACATGACTCCATTTTCACTTGCATAGAAAACCAGGATCCTCCAAAATATGACTCTTTCTCTGGTGTGTACAATCAAGCCGGTGCCGTCCCGTGATACTGAAAGAAACCTGAAAAAAAATCACACAAAACACTGTAAGCACGAAGCTTAGTGAGTTCCCCAAAATACCACACATAACACATATTAGCCACTCGAGGCTATAACTCTATGGGTCCGTGCACCCAAACTCTGTGAACCCTCAGGCTCTAACTCTGGGAACCTTCCGGTTCCAACTCTATAAACATGCACAGCATAAATCACATAGAAATAATGCAGTACAACACATCACGTACATATAGCATACAAATACTCTGAACACATAACTCTGGTTACCTACTCAAGGTAAAGTATAGTGAGAAGACTCACCTGGCAAGCAGAAAGCAGATATCCCCACACTGGAATCTCAAACTCGCCACCGCCTAACACGTAAAGCAAATATTCTCATGAATATAACTCTCGAGACTAGAATAAATCCTCTCATAACACCCTCTCATGGGTAAAAGACTAGTTTACCTCTCTCTTGGCCCAAAGGCCACATCGCTGACCAAACCCTAAAAGTCAACGACCAACCCTTGGTCGAAATCAAAGTCCTCAGTCTAAGTCAACCCCTGACTGACCCTACTCGTCGAGTCAACTCTGTGACTCGTCGAGTTCCCATAATCAGAACTTCATTCAATCTGCGACCTAACTCGCCGAGTCACCCCAAGACTCGCCGAGTCCAACAACTCTGAGTCCACTCGCACTCGACTCACCGAGTCATCCCTCAACTCACCGATTCTCGACTCTACCAGAGAATATTTGGGACTCTTCGACAAGACTCGCCGAGTCCAAATGGACTCGTCGAGTCCAAGGCTATCTTCAACCTACTCGCCGAGTTGTTCTTCCAACTCGTCGAGTTCCAAGCCATCTGCAAGCAACTCGTCGAGTCTACCCATGTAACTCGCCGAGTACCACCGTTCTGAATCCATTCAGAAGCACTCCAGGCCATGCAATTGATCCAAAACATAGATCTAGCCTCCTACAACCCATCCATCACGTAAAGTGGCAAACTTTACGTGAATCCAAAGAGATCTAAGCCGTTTGCACATTGGGCTAGGATTTGGGACAAGATGACTCCATCAACCACTCACAAACAGGGACTTTCATGCACTCTAGACCTTCTCCCTTCCAGATCTGAGGTAGCAACCTCAGATCTAACCTCTAAACTCCAATACATCCAAAGATATGATCTCCAACATCCCCAAAATGATGCATCTAAGAAATAGCAGCTCAAAAAAACGAGATATTACCTCAAAGGAATGCCCTAATTGAAATGAGACTCGAATTCAAAAAAGCCCCTTGCTCCAAGCCTTCAATCTCCCAAAATTCCTTCACAAATACATTCTCCAAGCTCCACTCCATCCAACAATGGTGCTTCTTCGTGATTTAGGGGTTTCTGGGGCTCAAGGGGTGATAAAGAGGCTGGGAGGGAAACATAATGATCTTTATATAAGGCTCAACCCCGAGAATTAGGGTTTTCTCCACTCAGCGCCTACTCGCCGAGTCCATTACCCTGACTCGCTGAGTCGGCCACTTAACACGCGACCAAGTCGCGACTCTACTCGCCGAGTCCGCACATGGACTCGCCGAGTCACTCTTTCCCAATTTACTCTTTTAGCCCTTCAACTCTACTCTTGATATTTCGGGATGTTACACAAACACCACTAAGCAATTAGATGAAGGAGAGAAGAGAGGGGAGGCACCAAAAATGGCTGGAAACCCTAAAGGAAGTATATATCACGTTTTAGGGGCCATAAGGGTTCCTTATATATGCTGGCTATTAGGGTTTACAGTTAGGAAACCCTAATCTGACTCCTTAAGCCCTAAGCAGCCAAAGACTCCCTCTTTAGAAGCCTTGGACGATTTCTAATGGGTTTCCCCATAGAATTCATCCACTCCAACTTCTATGGAGTCCATTAGCTCATCTATGTAATAATCTTATAATTACACAACAAGTCCCTTAAGTTTAATTAATCTCTTTTAGCCACAAAATTAATTCTTAATTAATTCTTGACTAATATTAATTAAACAATATGATTTCTCCTTTAATATATTATTCTTATTATATATTAATAAATCATAATTAAACCTCTCTCTCCTTAATTCATCCTACATATTGCTATGGTGAAGGCAACCCAAAAGGACTATGCTCACAATCAGGTCAAGTATATACCAAAATAGTTATGAACTTAGACACTAATCCAACAATTCTTTAGTCCAGATATGAGGTTCTAACCTCAAACTATGCTCAAATAACTCAAGGACACAAGATGATTGGAAGAAAACCCTAAAAACTCCCAAAAATGAGATCTAACGAATATGTGGCCAAGATGAGAGCTTTTTACCTCTGAATAGAAGCTAATGACAGAAGAATACAAGATCCACAACCTTTCCTCAGTTGGATCCACTAAGCTCCTCCGATAATTCCTCCAAAATGCACAAGAATGCTAAAAATGCTCTCTTTCTCTCTCTCTCTCTCTCTCTCTCTATATATATATATATATATATATATATATATATATATATATATATATATATATATATATATACACGCACAACGAAAGGGGCATGTTAGGGTCTCTCTCTGTGAAGTGTGACCGCACAAGGAGGCTATAAGTTCATTTAAATAGGTCCCAAACCCGGGGATTTAGGGTTTCTCATTCCAGCGCCTACTCGGCTAGTGTACTCTCGGACTCGTCGAGTAGATCATTGAACTCACGTGGTCATACTCACTTCTACACGGCGAGTTATAGCGCCAACTCGTTGAGTAGATCAATGATCTTCGAAAATAAATAATTAAAATAATATACCTAGAATATCCGGATGTTACAGTACTTATTAGGGTAAACCTTATGCCGACGACATGTCATTGATATAGGGTCCAAATAAACGATGACGTTTCGTCTTTTGCTGAAACAAAAAATATGTAAAAACTAAAAAACATGTGCCGGCGATTAGTCGTCAGGATAGCCGTACACAAAACTACGTCGTTCTGTTTTTCTGGCACATGGAATAAAAATAAATGGAATATATATATTTTTTGATACCTATCGCGACGACATGTCGTCAGTATAAATTTCAAAATACCGAGAACATTTTCGTTGTTCCCGCCAGACTTGTAGCGACGACATGTCGTCGACATAGATATCGTGGTCAAAGGAAATTGATCAAAGGGTGCAAAAGATATAGCGACAACAGGTCGTCGGGATAAGGGGACCTGTAGCGCGACGAGCTTCGTCGGCGTAAGTGTTGTCGGCATAGCTTAGTATCCTTGTAGTGTAAGGTTTGATGGGGAAAGTAAAGACCATCTAGCTCCTACTCCTAGATGGCTTAGGTAAGGTTAAGGCTCCCCCCTCTATGTTGATTAGCTGGAGATTTCACGTTAAATTTAGGCTTAGGGAAAGAAAGCACTTAGGGGTGCGTTTGGTTATGGAAAATTTTCTTAAAAAAACGAAAATTTTGAAAACGTGTTTGGTTTGTTCGGTTTTCCAATGTTTTCTAAAGAAAATGAAAATTTTCATTTTTCCAAATTGTAAGTAAATTGGAAAAGTGATTTTTATAGTTTTCTAAAGTTTTCTAAATTTCTATGATGAAAAATAAAAACTTCACTGGTTCTCACTAAACACGTTTTATAAAATTTTTATTGAAACTTAAAAATGAAAACTCAACTTTATTTTCTGAAAACATTTCCTTGGAAAATGAAAAAACATTAAGTGATTTTAAAGGGACATATCACATCATTGTAATTATAGTGCATGTTGGATGTGGGTTATTAGTTGGCAATTTGGACGCCTCACTATTGTTCGACACTTTCTTGACATGTATGGATACACAATGTTAAATGCCCGCTTATACATCAGGACTTGGAGACAAGCTCGACGAATGGTCACGTTGACATAGCGACTCAACGAGAAATGTAGAATAGCTTTCACTCATACACATCCCGAGTTTGATATCCATCGCTATTGACTCTCCATAAGTGTCACCAATAGGACACAAGTAATGGATAGCAACCACACAACAAAACACATTCACATCCCCATTAATGATCTCTTAGCATCACATCTAACTTGATTGTCAATATGTATCATGTACGTACCATCATATTGAATATAGACAGTTTCTTTTAACAATTCTTTAGACATTGATATAGTGGGTCTCCATAGCTGTACAAAATATGCTACATGTAAGTCGTACATACTTAATAACCTAGGTGACCAATATTCTATTATTTTTTCAATAAATATTTACTTTCAGGTAAAAATGGATCATTACATCAAAAGTACTAATACTTGAAAAGACAGTTTCTAACATGTAAACATCAATCTTGTCAATATCAACATTTATTTTGTTTCTGTTTTCAAACAAGAAGTGAAATAAAACCAATCATAGAATTTAACACTTTTAAAGTTTATCCGCAGAACCAGTCATACAAGCCTTACAAATATTAACTTTATCTTCTTTTTTTTTTTTTTACAAAATAATGCCAGATTAGATTTATTATAAAAATATATAATAATTTATTAAGAAAGAGATGACTTGTGTATATATTGATGTTAAAGAATAAAAAATGTTTTAGTATATATACTTTTACAGGGACAAAACAGTAATTTTAGACATGCAATTATTAAAAATCAAATCCAAACAGAACGAGATTCGAAAATGATGCAGGTGTGAGTGTGTGACCATAACTGCATGATGAGTGGCATCTGTTTTCTCAAATTCCGTTCGGCTGTTTACCGGCTATCACCGGTAAATGCGTATACGTGGCGCCATTTAAGCTGGAGAATTGTTTTCTGTAGAGATTAAAGAATGAAAGCTTCGTTAGATATGTGGAATACTTTGAAATATGAATTTTTATATGTTGGACTTTTGTAGTCAGTAGTATAATTGTGGATATATATACGGCCTACATACTCCCTTTTGAGTCCTAACACTAACACCAAGGTGAGAGAGTGTGTGTAAAAGTGAGGACCACACGAGTGATCAGAAGCTATCAAAAGGGAATCTCTGGCATTAGCGTCGTCACCATCGTCATCGTTTTCATTCTCTCGAGAAGAAGAAAACAGAAATACAACTGGAGATTTCGTTCTAGATTGAAGAACTGACGTACGAGCGGAATCGTATGAAGAATGAGGAATGGAAGAAGTTAGTAAGGAATTAGCGATCGAGGTATAGCATTCTGAGTTGGTGTGGTTATGGTAATGGAGGTTACACAGGCAGGAGTCAGAACTAGAGCTCGAGCTATGGTGGCGGAGGAGACGGAGGATAATTCGGAAGCAGTGAAGAGGAGAAAGGTCGGTAATGAGAAATTGAGGTCGCCGTCGTTAACATCTGAGAACACTAAAACTCGGTGTGATATTAATTACGTTAAATCAGCACATGAGGAGGAGTATCCAAGCGATTCTTTCAATGCCTCCGCGAACCTTAAATCCGGTGGTGTTCCGGCGTCTTGTTGCTCTAGTACTGGATCAATGGAGAAAGTGAAAGTTGCGGATCTGGAGGTAATTAATGTTTGAACACTCTTTTCTATTCATTATTTGATTCATCTTACTTCTATCATCAATGTTATTTAATTTTACACAGTTTTAATGGTTTTTCGGTTTCTAATTTGCAGAAGAGTTATGGAACTGAAACATCCGCATATAAATTAAACGGAAGCGAAAGGTTTTCAATTAATGCCATTTCAATTAGCTCATTTATGTACACATCTTTTAAGTTTTAACTCTTTTCTTCTCTTCTCTATCCAAGCGATCTCCTTCTTCTTTTAACTTGATGGCCGGTTCTTTCAGCACACCTAAGAAGGAGCTCAAGGCGGAATCAGGCGAACTGGAATCATGTACAGCAAAGCCGTCACTGGAAATGGTTAATCCTTGCCGTACAGTCTTGTCGCCGGAGAAGATGCCACCTGAAGTGGAACTTGAAGCCTTCTTTGCGGCTGCAGAAGAAGATCTCAACAAACAGTTTAAAGAGAAGTGAGTAATTCATTTAGCTTCTTTCATTGCTTGTGTAGGAATCTTCTAAGAAAAACTAACGTATAGTAGCTGATGAATAACATTAATTCATGGTGCTATATATCATTCGCAGGTATAATTACGACGTTGTAAATGATATTCCTTTAAAAGGTCGATACGATTGGGTGGAACTAACGCCAGGAAAATGACGATTAAAGATGATCGATGAAGAATTAATAAATTAATGAGCATTTTTGTTTTGATGAGTTATTTGAAGCTTTTCTGGCTACCTACAGCAGCTAACCCTAAACGAGGAAGAGCGACGCTGTGAAAAAGTATGCCGTAGTGTTGTGTGCTTTTTAAATCGTTGTTATATAGTAATTCATATATAGTAATGATATTCGAATCCACCACTGGTAATTAACTTTGATTTTAATTATTTCTCAAAATTGCTTTGTGATTGAATTTAACATGATCCATAGATATATGATTATAGTTATGTTAAGAAAATGAAAATGTTTATGGAATGAAGATGGTGGTTTGGTAATTTGGTTGATGCCGGAGATCGGTGGGAGTTGGAAGGCGTTGGTGAAGAATGTACAAGCAGCAGAAGAAGAAAACTGACGCCTTGCCGTGTAAGCTACGAACACGTGTTTGAATGCCGGAAAGCATATACTGACTCCCATGTGGATCTTATCGAGAGAGAGAGAGAGAGAGAGAGAGAGAGAGAGAGAGAGAGAGAGTGTGTGTGTGTGTGTTTCTGCAGCCATGTCCAATGTCCAGACCTTCTTTCTTCATCACTAAAGTACAACATGTCATCACAGGTGACTGGTTAAAAACCCTATAATTTAATTCTGTCGAATGAATTTAATCCAAAGTATAATATTGGAATATAATATTTGAAAAAAAGCCTTAACTACCCATAGATTAGGACACATTAGCAATGGATTCTATCCGACCGATGATTTTGAACTATTCGTGTTAATATCATAAAATCAACGACGAATTACACGAATATCTTAACAATTTTGGTTTATTGAAATCTAAATGTTGTTCTTTTCGGAACCGCTACTCCATACACTTTCTTGAGTATTTTAGCATTTAAATATTAGTGTACAAATTTAATTTACTTAAATTAATGCTTAGTCGGGCTTCCACTAAACAAATGCAAACCATAACACTTTAAGAAACCGAATATAGTGGACGATACATAAACTACTAATAATAAATAACTTGCAAGCACTACTAAGGAATTCAACATCACATCCCGGTGGCAATTAGCGTTCCTTACGGGTATTATTTGTCGTGAGTGGCATCCACTACAAGAAAAAACGATTCTTAGTGGCGACTTGTCGCCATTAAAAGTTAGCTTAGTCATCGGAAAAAGAAGTAGCAGTGGCAAGTTGTCGTTATTGATCAAAATGTCGCTGTTGATAACATCATCGTCGTATCTATTGTCGCCGTTAATACTCTTTTCGTCGGTAATAGTATCGTTGTTAATGTTCGTTATCATTTTTTTAAATAGGTTAAACGCAGAAATCATGAAAACATTAAATGCAGAAAAATATTACATATTGACGTTCAATTAAGTACCAAAGTGGTATATTTTATACAAATCCAAAATAAACAACAAAAATGTTATAAACTTATGTTATAACAAGTCTAACAAAACACAAACCAATCCAACGAATCATCATCTCCACCCCCCTCGTTTCCTCCTAAATCATCACTTAGTGGTTTCCCCAAATGAAAAAACGCATAAAGTTCCTAATTATACGTCGGGTCGTTGAACATTACACAATGATTTTCCAACTACATAATAATTAACAACATATATAAACTTATAAATTAACTTTCGACATAAATAATAACTTCCAAAGTACATAGTTATCTCATTCACTTAAATACAAGATATACCAAAGGTACATTGTTATTTCTTGCACGTGGTACATAAAGACAATTACAAAATCAACATGCATTCATTGATATCAAATAACAGTGCTATTTTTATACTAGGGACAAAAATCAATTACCAAAGTTTTTAGCAAATAATCATCACAAACCAAAATTACCAAATAAACATGCGTTTGTTGATCATTATATATATATATATATATATATATATATATATATATATATATATATATATATATATATATATACTGTGGTGGTGGTTGTGATGGTAGTGCAATCAGTAGAATAACAGAAGGTTTGTCATCTAATTCCTCTAATATGGCCAGGTCGAGAACCTAATAATTTCTCAAAACAAACTCTTTCTTCAATATGTGTTAGATCTCTTTCTCCATTTAACCCTTGAGTTTTTTCTAAGAGCTTGTGCACTAATTGATTATGTGTTTTCTAAAAATGATTTAAGAATTAAGTATGAACAAACACTTACTTATATGAAAAAGTCATAACTAATACTTACGTATTGTTACTCGACTACCTCACTGACTGTGACATCCCAAAATTTAGGTCTAAATCTGTAGAAAGTTAATTTACCGCTAACCACATTGTACAAGGACCTACGTCATAGCACCTCGATGATTTTAAGTACAAATGAGGTCATGTTACTCACAAGTGACTTCGTGATACCTCAAAACGCTCGAAAAGTTAACCATCATCATCAAATAGAGTTCAAAAATCAGTGAGACCTGATGCCCTAAAAATCAAAATTTTGCATTTGACCAACATGAGGGTCATTGATGATAAAATTGTATAGAGCATGCTGTTAAGATTCCGTGGATATATGTGACATCCCTATTTTCACGGTAGAAAAGACTGATTTGTTTATGCTTTATTTTCAAATCAAAGTATCTTTTTAAAGAAAAGTATTGAGAAATTTGTCCCTAGAAAAACATGATAAATATGTTATCAAGTTATTTTCTGAAGAAATGTATTTTATTCATTTTAAAACTTTGGGATGTCATCGTTAATATAGAAACATAAGCATAGATAGAACTTACATTCACTTACGTTAGTGATCTACATCTCTTTAAATCTCTCGGTGTAGTGTGGCTTTATATCGACACATGTGATACAAATAAATTGAGTGGGTCAGGTTGGGAAACCTGGTGAATACATAGGGTTTTCAACCCACATTAATAAAGTTATTATGTTTTATCATCAAACAATTAACCGAATAACTCATCTCTATTATCTTCTTTATTTCTTAAGGATCTACCCGAAAAATCATCTATCACTCATTCCTAAGGATTCTTCCTAAAGAAAAGGCATGAAGTCCATCATCGTTAGGGTTTATACAATAGGCACTAAATCCATAGTTGCTAGGGTTCATCCAACGGGTGCTAAGTCCATAGCTCTCATTTATCAACAATATTATTTGCGGGAGTCCACCTGTAATACATGTCAATAGGTTATTTTAATGTACACCGGGTGAACATATCGTCCACAACACCTACAGGTTGCGAGCCTACTAGTGTTCCATGGACCGTTTAGAATAGTCCATGGTTGTCATCCATACTCTGCTAGATGACGGGACCAACGCTTGGGTAAGGGCTTCTCTCATTTTTCACCCACACCCTCATCTCACGTTCTATATCACCTTTCATCTCATCCTCCAACTCATCTTTCTTCACACACCAGCTATTTCATCTACCCATGTTCTACCCAATATATTTGTAGATATAAAGTACATATACAGTTTAGATCTGCAGAAAAAGTTTAGATTTGAAAAGAAAATACATATACGATTCAGATATGAAGAAAATGGGTCTAGATCTAAAAAACAAAGTTTAAATCTTTCATCCAGTATAGATCTAGAGTAAACAGATAGTATGCACATATAGCACATAAATTATATAAAATACTTCATATCTATGTGTAAGATGAAAGTAACTATGCACTCACCTGATTAGGTGGTGATTCGGATATCACTTCGTTTCTTAAAATAATCTTCTTTGATGAAACCAGGAGGTTTTCTTGAAAACCAGGCTCTGTGCAGGCAGAGTTTCAAAGCAAAAAACTATTTTTCTTGGAGACTTTGGGTGCTCTGGAGCTTTTTTCTAGTGCTAGGGAGGTTCCCTAGGCTTCAGGGTGGTTTAGGGTATCTAGAGAGAGAGAGAGAGAGAGAGAGAGAGAAAGACAGAGAGTAGAGAGATAAAGAATGGTGTAAGGAATGAAATGATAAAATTTGCTATTTATAGGCTGATTTTGGCCCTCTCACATCGTGAGTCTCACATGCTCACGTCGTGAGCTTCCATGAGTCATCCCGTAGCCTTCCGATGTGTTTTCTAGCCTCGATTGGTGTCCATTTGACTCCTCACATGGTGAGAACTTATGCTCACGTCGTGAGCCTTAAAGATAGACTTGTCATCTGCATTCTAACCTTGAAAAGTGGCATTTTGACTCCTCATGTCGTGAGAAATCATGCTCATATCATGAGTCCAGTCAGATTAGGGTTTCTGACACATGTCATGCTCTCAGACATATTCGGAAGACCATAACTTTTGCATACGAGCTCTGTTTTTGACGTTCTTTATATCCACGCGTAGGTGGAGACATACTCTACAAATTTCATTTAGACCCCTAAGGCTAAAAATTACTTTACCGTAAACTCACTTTTTATGATTCTCAGTGTTGTGTCGGTTTGTTGCGAAACTTCGACATGTCATAACTTCTTCGTTATAACTCGGATTTCGGAGTCCTTTTTATCTCCAAAATCCTTCTCACGACCACTACAACTTTCTTCATAGACATCAGGCTTATATAACATTTTATTTTTTATGCTTATTTTTATTCTTAATTTATTATAGCATCATAATTAAGTATAAAACACATAAATTCACATAATTCACCTAATACTCAAATAATTCATCTTTATTACTTTAAAACGAGTTACAATGGTTGACCTAGACTATTACATCATCATTAATTCTTAGCCTCGAAACACGGGAGTTACAACTCTCACCCCCCTTAGGATGATTCTGTCCCGGAATCATGCATCAATAAACAAATGCGGATAGTGATTCATCATGTCACTCTCTGTTTCCCAGGTGAGATTTGGCCCATTCGTATGTTTCCATCGCACAAGCATTAAGTCGACCATCTTGCATTGTAACTTCTTCGTCTTACGGTCAATAATTGCTTTAGGCTCTGCAACCAACCTCTTGTTCTTATCGATTCATTACTCTGAAAGTGAAATCATATCAGGAACTTCACCCGTGAACTTCCTTAAATAACACACATGAAAGGTGTTATGAATAACATCTAGTTATTTTGGTAGTTCAAGCTTGTAATCTTGGTTCCCAATCCTCTGAAGAACTTTAAACGATCCAATAAACCTTGGACTCAACTTTCCTTTTTTCCTGAATCGTAAAAGTCCCTTCCATGGTGAGACTTTAAGCAAAACAAAATCTCTAACTTCGAATGTCATCGGTTGTCTCTTCTTGTTAGCATAGCTCTTTTGACGATTCTGAGTTGTTAACATCCTTTCCCTAATCTCCTTTAGCTTTTCAGTAATCTGATGGACTATCTTGGGGCCCATAAACTGCTTTTCTCCTGCTTCAAGCCAACATGACGGCGTTCGACACTTCTGTCCATACAAAGCTTGATAGGGTTCCATCTTGATGCTCGAATGGAAACTATTATTGTAGGAAAATTCTATCAGAGAGAAATGTTCATCTTAGTTACCTTGGAATTCCAGGGCACATTCTCTTCGCATATCCTCCAATGTTTGATTCATCCTTTCGCACCGACCATCGGTATGCGGATGGTAAGTTTTACTTAAACACAACTTCGTACCCAATTCCTCTTGTAGACTCCTCCAAAACCTTGGCGTGAAATGGCTGTCATGGTCTGATGCAATCGTTAAAGGAACACCTTGAATTCTTAATATCTCCATCACGTAAGCATTTGCAAATTTATCCATATACCATTTTTCATTGGCTTCTATGAAGTGTGCACTTTTATTGAACCAATCAATGGACACCCAAATCATGTCGTGACTGCTTTTTTTT